TGGTCTTTAAAATTACAATAATATCGCTTATCGCAATTATTTCTGGGGCAATATATCGCACAACAAAAAGTTGTTATCGTGACAGGCCTAGCAAACGCAAAAAGCACTGAAATATAACTTTTTTTTTCCTTTTTCCATCATATATGTCATACATGTCCCTTTAGGGGCTCTTTAGAATTATGTAATCTTAATCATATTTCTGAAATAAAATGATGGTCGAGACTTTGACAGAGTTAAACTCCTATACCCCATTGGAATTAAATATTGGTAACACTGCATTAAGTACAAAAGCAGCAGTATTTCAAATGCATTCATTTCATCTGCAAAAAAAAAGAACATAAATGCAATATCTGCTTTTGCTTGCATGGATCTCTACACCACTATGACTGCAGCAGTGTGTCTACATAAACAAGCTCAATTTAAGACTTTTTTTAAGACTGCCTACTCGTCTACATTTGAGGCAAGGCATGTGGCATCTCAAACAAGTCTATTGTTTTGATCTTCAAAGTTTACACTTTGGGGGCAGCTTGCTTGCTGCATATTAAGGAGAAAGTATTTTAACATCCAAAAATGACAAATCTTCACCTTTAACTTTATAAACTCAGTTAAAGGGGTCATATGATGCTGCTAAAAAGAACATTATTTTGTGTATTTGGTGTAATGAAATAAAAGAATGAAAAAATTTTTTTGGGGTGACAATTATTTACATTTTTCACAAATTTTGACTTCCTCCGTTTCAACATGACCAACCATTTTAACAAGCATCTTATAAAGAATACTCTGCTTGGTTAACACAGAGACAACGGTGTTAATAATGATGAGTGTGCTGGAGATGAGATATCAGACATATAATGCATGAAGCAAATTAAAATATTTGTTGTTAATAATAATAATAACAATAAATATTATTTCACTGAACATCTTTAAGTCATGTAAAAAAGTGGAAAAATATAAATCCATTAATTAATATAAATATATAGTGGGTATAGAAAGAATCACTCCCCTTTTAAAATAATCACATTTTGTTGCTTTGCAGCCTGAAATGAAGACGGACACAGTTTTAGTTTTATCCAGCTGTATTCACTCAGTGCAACTTATAACATCCAACTGAAAGATGTAACACCAATATGTCAGAAAAAATAAAAAAATAAAAAAAACAATCACCGAGTTGGAAAAAGGATCAAAATGACTTGTAAACTCAATCAGGTGTAGCTAATCACCTTCTCAACGGCACACAAAGCCATGCGACTTTCAAAAGCTGTGGTCATTTTGATCAGCTCAGCATGAAAAGAGCTTTCCTGGAGTATTAATTGTCTATATGTTTTTTTAAAGATACATAAAATGTTAGCTGTGAATTATGCAAAGGAGACATTTTGTTCTCCTTTATTACGGTTTATGTAAGGCTGAAATATTACCGGAATGGTTCCTCCTAACCAGTGTTGGGGAAAGTTACTTTTAAAAGTAATGCATTACAATACTCCCATGATCATGAGCATGATCCCTTCTTTGAACCAACACTGAGCTGACTCGAGCTAAATAATGACACTTTTGTATTTTAAAGCTGCTTTACAGCAGAATCTGAACTGTCTCCATAGCTGAGTTTCCATGACTGATTCTGATGCTTCCGTTTATCTCCGTGAAGCTGCTTTGACACAATCAGCATTGCATAAAGAGCTATGACTTGACCTCAAATGTTACTGTACTACCTCCTGTTCCTTCTGTCTAGGGACCGCGGTGATATTTAACATGAATAGAATCATTCCAAACCGAGGCCGCTCACCTGTCAGAATCACTGGGCGCACTGCCCTGTATGAGCACCATCTCTCCGGGTTGAAGTCCGCCCAGGATGGTACCAGCGTAAGGTATCGGCTAGAGGCAGAAATGAAAATAATGAGACACACCGACTCAGTTTGCCCTACCTTATAATTCTACAAGATAAAACCTTTCACGTTTTCATCACTGCAAAACAGGCGAAGCATTAACAGATAAACGGATGAAATCGTTTTGATGAATAACGTTAACGTTATATGCTAGAAGCATCCACCCATAAGCAAAAAAGTATAAGTAGAGTAAATAAGTAGGGTAACTCTTACTGGATTCATTATTGTTTGTTTCGGGTTTGCGACAGACATATTGGCGATGCTGTTCAGAAAGCCTCTTTATATGCTGTTATTGTGAGTTAATCACCACCAGAGAAAGAAAATATGAACGCTTTCTGCACTTTCACTTCCGCCTGTGAGAATGACGCATTCAGTAATGCGCTAAATGAGCGCGACGCGTTCATTGGCCAATCAGTTTTTATGTGAGCGCGACGCGTTTGAGAGGGACGCGTTTAGTGACCAATCAGCACGCGATATGAGCGCGACGCTTTCATTGACCAATCAATTGCGATATGAGCGCGATGCGTTCAGTGGGCAAAGTTTCACGCCTCTATGGGCGGGCTCAAGGTGAGACTAGGACCAATCAGAGTGCAATATATTTAACGTTACTGACCAATCACGGCGCTATTTGTATAGTGACGTTTGTGCTGTTTTTCATTCGAAGAGGGAAGATTTCTGTTCCAGGAGTGAGAGAAATAATGTGAATTATACTAATACAAATTAAATAATTTCAGATGTTTGCCCGCTTTGTTATTAACATAAATGATCTCACTTTTTACCCCCCCCCTGCATGAATGTATAAAGAACAATGATAAGAGAGGATGCGTCTCACTTGACGTTAAATCGAGGCACATGACACGGAAGTATCTGCAAATCCTAAACATCCTCATGACAAACTTCATCAGTAGTTCATACACACTCCAGTCCAAACATGCGAACGCACTGTCTGCTGTTCATAATCTCCTGCATTCTGGGGTGCTCTGCGGAGTTTTATGTTATAGATGATCGGGTCGGGTTAGGGAGAGAGTTTGATGGAATAGGTGGATTAAGTGGAGGAGGAGTAAATTGTGTTCGCTTTTTAAATTGTACTATTTTGCGTACTGTCAAGAGTTGTGGGTGACTGCATGTTGATTTCGTTCACAGGCCACTTCGAGACTTCTTGTGAATTATGAAGAACCGTATCGGAGTCAGATATTGGATTTCTTGTTCAAGGTATTCACAAGCGGTTAAGATGTGTGGCATTTAATGATGGACATGCATTGAATAACCAGGTGTGTTGTTATGTTGCCGGTTTGGTTTTATTCAGCCCAACTTTGGAGCTTCATTGCACATCCTAAAAGTAGAAATAGGAGGCGATGCTCAAACCACAGGTAATATAAAATGTCTATGTTTGTTTGTCTTTCTGTCTGTCTGTCTTTCTTTTCCCTGCCTGTCTTGTACGCATCTATTCATTTATTAAATACATAAAAATGCAATTCATATATCGCATCAAAAGCTATATCTACTGTTGCGAATTCAATACACCCCTTCTTCTGTTTTTGAATGAATAAAATGAATTAAGATGGAACAAAAAGTAAAAAAAAAAAAAAAAAAAATCTCATTAAAAAAAAACTTCTTGTTCAAGGTAGTCACAAGCGGTTAAGATGTGTGGCATTTAATGATGGACATGCATTGAATAACCAGGTGTGTTGTTATGTTGCCGGTTTGGTTTTATTCAGCCCAACTTTGGAGCTTCATTGCACATCCTAAAAGTAGAAATAGGAGGCGATGCTCAAACCACAGGTAATATAAAATGTCTATGTTTGTTTGTCTTTCTGTCTGTCTGTCTTTCTTTTCCCTGCCTGTCTTGTACGCATCTATTCATTTATTAAATACATAAAAATGCAATTCATATATCGCATCAAAAACTATATCTACTGTTGCGAATTCAATACACCCCTTCTTCTGTTTTTGAATGAATAAAATGAATTAAGATGGAACAAAAAGTTAAAAAAAAAAAAGTCTCATTAAAATAAAAGCCTCATTAAAAGAAAGTTATACCTGAAAAGAAAACCTTATTACGTAGTTTGGCGTAATATTTTATTATTATTTCACAGAAAACAATAGTTTAACAAAACATGTTCACTGGTTGTTTGAAAAAAAACTTTGTCATATGACCTGAGTCATGTGATGCCAACATGCTGGAGAAGAAAAAACAAAAAAACCCGGAAATGAGATGATTAAGAGGACCCCTTCAAACCAAACCCTCATGACTGTCAATGTCAAAAATAATAAATAAATAAAATAATTTATTTGACCTTTAATAAGAAGGCAAGGTTAATTCTTTATTTTACCCTCTAACTCTAGCACTTCCTATTCTATTTTAATTCTACTTTATATATTTATCTTCTTTTTTTATTAAAAAAAAAAACACTAGCTTTCTATTTTTTCTATTCTATCTACTTGTTTTTCTTTGTGTGTGTGTATGTGTGTGTATAATATATACATAAACATATAGAGACACATCTTTTTTGACCAATTAATACTAGCACTTACCTATTCTATTCTATTCTGTTTGCTCTAATTTATTTACATTTTTTTTTTTAAACTTGCTACGTGTACTGCGTTAGGCTAACCGAGACTTGTCATTTGCACATATATTGTTGCTCTTTTGTTAGTTTTGACTGCTTCTATTGTCCTCATTTGTAAGTCGCTTTGGATAAAAGTGTCTGCTAAATGACTAAATGTAATGTAATGTAATTCAGATTGCAAAATGTCATGTGATGTGACTCCCCAAAATCATAAAATAAAATAATAATTCATGATATTTGCAAAACAAATGTTTTATACTTGAAAAGATAAACCTTTTGATGCGACTGGCCCAAATTTGAATCTGCCTTTTACAGATCCCATTAGGCTTTAGGGGTTCAAATGCACTGAATATGTTGTTGTTTTTGTATATTGTTTTAAAATGTACTACAGTACACATAGGGAAAAATTGTATTTGCTACTATTTACACTTAAAGGCAGAGTAAGCGATTTCTGGTAGCCAATGTTGATATTTGAAATCACCAAAACAATCTTTCTGTCGCTCGGCTCGGCTAATGTCCGTCCCATGCACTGAACGCACTCTCCTCCACATCACGAGTAGACACGCCCCTTATTGCTGATTGGCTACAAGTTTGTTTTGCTATTTGGCCCGAATCAGTTTTCTAAAGTGTTTTTGAAAAATCACATACCCTGCCTTTAAGTGCAAAGAAAATACTGCTATTTTAACTACAAATAGCCCCTGCTTTATATGTATGACTTTTTAATGTTTATTTATTTTATTTTATTTTTTTGAAGATTTTTTTTTTCCTTTTCTATATTTTGCACGCTCTTAATCTGCATTCACACTGACATTGATTCAGTTGCTTGAGGTCGCAAGTCTCTGAGTTGTTTTCTAGTAGGTGGTCCTGCTGTAGTATCTAAATGTGTCAGGTGGCGGACTATTGGTAGTAGCCATGCATTTGCATTTCATTTGAGCTCCATCCAACTATCAAACATTGCCAACAATCGCTGACGCTCATGTTGCAGGAAATTGCCAACTCATAGAAAAAAAAGCTGTCAGGTTGCTTTGTCATAGCGAATCACTAGCAGTGTCAAGTGTCAGCCCATTTTTACAGCAGTTATTAATGCAAAAATAAAATATTAAAATAGAAAAAAAAAAATATTATAATAAAATTGTAAACAAATGTAATGTAAAAATATATATATATATATTTAAGAGTAAAATAGTTTAGACTAAAACAAACTCTTGTTAATTGTTAAGTCTCAGCTATTTAGGTTTCCCGGAAACAAAGGTGAGAAACTTTATGTTTGGGTTACTACAGGTTAACGGTCATTTACTTGTCTGTTTGACAGATGGCACAGAACCCTCTCACATGCACAGTAAGGATGAAGCCAATTTTTTCCGTGGATATGAGTGGTGGCTTATGAAAGAAGCCAAAAAGAGAAATCCAAACATCAAGCTGATTGGTAATCAGTTTGTTTTACACTCCATTTGCCATTTGTATATTATAGGACAGAAATAATATAGAGATGATCACAGATATTTGACTTGATTCCAAGCTTTTGATTTTGAAGGTCTTCCCTGGGCATTTCCGGGATGGGTAGGAGAGGGAACCCAATGGCCTTACTTCTTTCCAAATGTTACTGCCGACTATGTTGTTACATGGATATATGGAGCAAAGCAGCATCATAACCTTGACATTGATTATATTGGGGTATGTATGCTTTAGCTAATAGTACAAATAATTAGGATGTTTTAGAGGGAAACTTTATTTGAACTTCTCTTTTTTTTTTTCTTCTTTTTTTTTTCAGATATGGAATGAAAGAAAATATGATCCAGTATACATTAAGGTAAAAAAAAGAGTGTATTCTGTAGTCTTTGTTCCAAACAGTCTAACTACATTGGCAATAAAATCATCAGTATTTCAATCAGTCCAAATGCATCTGTCTATCATTTACCTAGGTGCTGAGAGATACTTTGGACAGTGTTGGTTATACAAATGTTGGCATCATTGCTGCAGATGGAGACTGGTCCATTGCAGCTGCCATGCTGGAGAATCCATATCTGAATGATGCTGTTGAGGTGATAGGGTAAGCAGTTTGCTACCTTTGGCTTATACACCCATATAATTGACCAACTAGCTGAGCTATTAAATGTAAACTTTAGTTAAGAGTTTAAAGCCTTTATAGTGTCCACTACCCAGGCACCAAAACAGTGGAGGAAGCTCTGTTAACAGAGAAGAAGCTCTGGTCCTCTGAAGATTACAGCACCTTCAATGATGACATTGGTGCCGGATGCTGGGCTCGTATATTAAACCAGAACTACGTGAACGGCAGAATGACCTCGTGAGTGATTTGCAGACACCATTCACTTTCTCTGCAAAACACATCCTTATGCTAAAATGCTCAGAGTAAGACTGCTTTGTTTTAGGACTATATCCTGGAATTTGATAGCAAGTTACTATGAGAATCTGTCTTTTGGTGGAGATGGGCTGATGACTGCCGAGGAACCCTGGAGTGGACATTATCTAGTAGAATCTCCGATATGGATGACTGGTAACATGTTACTAATAGTCTGGCCGGTTTTGGGCTCAACCACTCAAAGCCTCTATTTTAATTTTTAGATTTTCCTTCCTTCCTTCACTCACTCATTTACCCACTCATTCACTCACTCACTCACTCACTCACTCACTCATTTACTCACTCACTCATTTACTTACTCATTTACTCACTCACTCACTCACTCACTCATTTACTCACTCACTCATTTACTTACTCATTTACTCACTCACTCACTCACTCACTCATTTACTCACTCACTCATTTACGCACGCACTCACTCACACACTCGCACTCACTCACTTACTCACTCACTCACTCATTTACTCACTCACTCATTTACTCACTCACTCACTCACGCACGCACTCACTCATTTACTCACTCACTCATTTACTCACTCATGCACTCACTCATTTACTCACTCACTCACTCACTCACTCATTTACTCACTCACTTACTCACTCACTCACTCACTCACGCACTCACTCACTCACTCACTCGCTCATTTACTCACTCACTCATTTACTCACTCACCCACTCATTTACTCACTCACTCAATTGTTCTACTGTTTTCAGATCATGTTAAGATCATGCCTGGCAAAAAGTACTATTTAAAAGAAATTGTGATACTTTTTATATATATATATATAAATTCAGTAGAATTAAATAGACTTTTATTAATTTCCTTAAAAGGATAGTTCACCCAAAAATTTAAATTACCCCATGATTTACTCACCCTCAAGCCACCCTAGGTGTATATGACTTTCCAGTGGATGACGTAGGCGTAGTGTAAGTTTCGGTGAGAATATGCTAGTCTCGCGAGAACCAAGTTTTGTTCACAGCAAAGGAAAACCAGTCTCCTCTTGGCTTATATCGAAATCCTCAGACATTTTTCTTTACGAATTCTTGTTACTTACACAAACGCATCACTTCGCTTCAGAAAGCCTTTACTAACCCCCCGGAGTTGTGTGGAGCACTTTTTATGATGGATGGATGCACTTTTTTGGGCTTCAAAATCTCAACACCCATTCACTGCCATTATAAAGCTTGGAAGAGCCAGGACACTTTTTTTAATATAACTCCGATTGTATTTGTCTGAAAGAAGAATCATATACACCTATGGTGATGGCTTGAGGGTGAGTGAATCGAGGGGTTAATTTTTATTTTTGGGTGAACTATCCCTTTAAATATTGAACTATAGGAATAGTTCATGTTCATATGAGAGTGGTTGTTGTAGCCAATGAGTGAGTGTCAGTTATTTCAGAAGTGTTGATAAATTGTATTTCTTTTTCCTGTAGCACACACTACTCAATTTACACAGCCAGGCTGGTTTTATCTGCAGACTGTAGGGAATCTCGCCCATGGAGGAAGTTACGTGGCTTTAACAGACCGTCAAGGGAACCTCACAATTGTTATTGAAACCATGGTGTGTGCTTGGCGATTTTCTTATGTCTTGTGAAAGTCACAAGTTTTAGTGAATCATTTATTTTGATCTCTATGCACACTTTCTCTTTTTATAGACACACAATCACTCTCAGTGCATTCGGCCTCCTCTACCGCAGTTTGACGTCTCCCCTCAGAAAGCCACATTTCAGCTCAAAGGTTCTTTTGTAAGTGCAGTTCTGTCTGTTCTTGATATTTCTATCCATTTATTTCTGAACCTTAAGGTTTAATATTATGTGGCTTGTGCTTTTATCTTTTTTTAGGCACATCTCACTGACCTTCAAATGTGGTACTCAAAATTGGATTTTGAGACCAAAAAAGATACACTGTTTCAGCGGAGCAGTCCTGTTAAGGTATATTTCAATCAGTTTGCTCCATATTTCATATCTTTTCATATTTTCTACTGTAGAATAAATAGGCAGTAAAGGAACCTTCCCGTTTCCACACAGGTCTATAATGGTTCCTTCACCTTAAGACTAGATGTTGATGAGGTTTACACGATCACGACAGTCAACACTGGACAAAGAGGCTCCTACCCAGAGCCCCCCAAATCCCGCCCTTTTCCAAAGAATTACTCTGATGACTTCACTGTCGGTAATGAATATTAGTGTCAACAGGAAACTACTGGAAACATTGACTCAACTGATGTTCATGGAAACATTACTTTTCATTCTCAGATAACCCTCCATTCTCCGAGGCCCCGTATTTTGCTGATCAAACCGGTGTGTTTGAGTACTTCAGAAATAGCACAGATAATGGCTCGCATGCCTTTACCTTACGGCAGGTGGTCACTGAACGGCCGGTCACCTGGGCTAGAGATGCCGACCAGACCATCAGCATAATAGGGGACTACAGCTGGTATGTTTATTGATAATTTGCGGAGCCAGCAATATATGGGAGAACATTCATTTTGCAGAGATGTTTTAATCAATACGGCAGTATTATAGTAAATGACATTCTGTCTCACAATTAATCATGTAAACAAAATTCACTACTAGGGCAGACCTCGATGTGTCCTGTGCCGTCCTCATTGAAACTCCCATCACTGGAGGCGTGTTCCTGGCGGCCCGGGTTGATCAAGGTGGAGAGTCCGTCAGAGAAGCAAAGGGTGTCTTTTATTGGATTTATGCAAATGGCACCTATAAAGTGACAAATGATATAGGTAACCATTTTATATTTCCATTTCTTTGAAAAGTTTGTTCAAATTTGGTTATAAACAGATCCAATTTTTCACCAGCCAATTTGGCTAGTAATTTTTGTTTTAAGTGACCGGCCATTCAGAACTTCTACTAGCTAAAACAAAACTAGATTATCAAAATCACAGCTTAGGTTTATATATATTTATTATTAAGTATGATTCTGAAACATTGAATGGCTTTCAGTTTTTTACAATAGTCAGTCATTGTTTGCAGATACCATAAAAATAAATAAAAAACTAAACGCTCTGTGACTTCTCATTCTGTACTTGCATTTTCAAGCTCAAGGCGGCAGTCTGAAACTGTACGGATATAAGTTCACTTCAAGAGTGCCAGAAAACAAGCAGAAAGAGAAAAGACGATCTATATTATTATATTTCATATGAAGCATAGATTCTATTCACAGAAAGTCAAACTTCTTATTGGAAAATGCACACAATACATCTTCCAGCATAGGTTTAAGTCAATATGTACATATATTTGTCCCAACTCAATGTTAATGTAATTTACTGGAAATTTACTTTACCCTTTGTTTTGCTAATAATAGGGCCTTTCGCACCGTGGGAACCTTTTCATAGTACCAGGACTAATTGTGGAACTACCCACTTTTTGGCATTTCGCACCGCCGGAACTGTGTGCTATTTTAGTACTGGACTGCCTTTTTCGAGAACCAAATTAGCTCCTACTCCGGAGCAGGGTCTAACCAGCACAACTGGTGCTAATCGTGACGTAAGTAGACATCGATTGGCCAAACGCGTACGAAAACGCCCTCACCTGCATCTAAAACGCCACTTTGTTTCTGTTGTTGAACGCCGCGCACAAATGACGTCGCTGTCGACCGGTTCTTAGTACACACTGTCGGTGCGAATGCAACCCTTTAAATAGTACTAGGAAATAGTTCGCGCAAAATCGTCCCAGTACTTTAGTACTGTACATTTAGTTCTGGAACTAAAGTGGTGCGAAAGGCCCTAATGTTGAAGGTTCCTCTTAGAGGAAGGGCTCTGATAGTGATGGCGTGTGTAAGTGATAGCATAATTTATAAATTGATATGCATTGCTGATTTTCATGTGCATTTGTCGGGTTGATGGGTGATCATTTTAAACCGTTGGACCATGTAAATAGGTGCTCTGGGGATTACGGTGCTTATATGAAATTCTTTTTCATCTGATTCCAATCTTAATTTTGTTTTATGCCTGAATGAACTATTTTGATTGTGTTTTGACTAATCTTTGTTTTTTTACATTAAAGGTGGACAAAGAGTTCTTGCTGAAGGGCTGTCAGGAACAAGGGAAGGTGTATGGTATACCTTAACCCTTAGTGTCGTCTCATTTGTAGCATCACCGTTAAAAGGCTATGCCTTCGGGATTGGGCAAGGCCAAAACAACAAACAAAACATATCACTAACTGTACCCAAGTCTCTAATTAGCCTACGTGAAAGAAAAGGAAACAAATGACAGCATTCTTCCCTAACTCCCTATCTAAAACAAAAACAAGGAAAGAAAATTAACTAAACGGTTTAAACAACAAAACAGTAGGTAACATAAAATAATAAAGGACTAAGTAATCACGAGAATGCACAACAAGTTTCTCAACACCAAGAAAGAAAAGCCCCATGCTAGGTTATAACGAGACGTAATGCACAACACAGCCAACAGCTCTCTCTCTCTCGTGCGCATGCGTGAGCGTTTGCTGAGTGAGTCTGGAGAGTGTGTGGTGGTGAGTTTGAGTTGCGTTGAGCGTGAGGGCAATTTTGTGCTTTTCCTT